TAAATGGAATCACATAACATGGAGCATTTGTGACCAGCTTCTTCCCCTCAGCACAAAGTCCACGCTGTACAGGTGTCGGAACACCACTCCTTTTACGATATGAATATGCCACAGCGTATTTATGCATGTGTGAGAGGATGAGCATCCGGCTTCTTCCCACCTCTGGCTATGAGGGCAGCAGTTGCAAAGGTGCAGGTCCAAGTTTCTGGGTGGGTATGTTTTTCATTCCTCTTGAGTATACACCTAGGACTGTGAGTCCCAGGTAAACTCCATGTTTACGGATTTGAGACACTGCTAGACTGTTTTTCCAAAGTGGCTGCAATCTGTTACACACCCACTGACCATGTGAGAGGGCTCTGATTTTACTACATCCTTACTGCATACCTTTTCGATTATGCCCTCCTAGTGGGTGTGAATCGGTATCTCATGCTGCGTTTGATTTGCATTTCCCTAGTGGCCAATGATTTTGAGCATTTTTCCCATGTGTGCAATGATCTCTTGTATATTCTCTTTGGAGTAATGTATACTCACATCTTTTGTCCATTTTTTTAACCTGGGTTATATGTCTTTGTAAATGATTTTTTTTAATCTACTTGGAAGACAGAGAGGGAGGCAGAGAGAGGGAGGGAGGGGAGAGGAGGGGAGGGGGAGAGGGGGAGAAGGAAAGAAAGGGAGAGAGGGAGAGGGGCAGAGAGAGAGAGAGAGAGGAGAGATCTTCTATCCACTGGTTCACTCCTTAAATGGACTCAATAGTCAGGGCTGGAACAGGCCCAAGCCATTAGCCCATAACTCCCGTCTGGGTTTCCCACCAAGGTGACAGGGACCCAAGCAGCTGAGTCACCATCAGCTGCCTCTCAGGATCTATTACCAGGAAGACAGATTGAAAGCAGAATATCTGGGACTCAAATTGGAACTCGAACATATGATGCAGCTGTTCCACTCAGCAGTTTAACCTGCTGCACCACAACGCCGGCCCCTAAACGTCTTTTCATTACTGAGATGTGGGAGTTCTCCTATGTTCTACGTACAAGTCCCTTATCGGTTGAGACTTGTAAAATCTTTCTTCCATTCTCTGGGGTGTCTTTTCATGTTCTTGTTGTGCTTGGAAGCTCCATCGGTTTTTTAACTTTAATGATTTCCAATTTAGTGATGGCTTTATTTTATTGCCTGTGATTGATTTCTTTTAAAAAATTCTTTGCTGTTTTTCCTAACTCAATTCTTCTGTTTTTTCTTTCATATAATTTCATCAGTTGCAAGTTCAGAATGCCACAAAAATCAAATGTAAAATCAATGTAAAAACAACAAGATTTCTTTTGAACGTGCTTTTGGCTAGCAAACACATCCTTTTATTTTTTTTTTTAAGATTTATTTATTTATTTGAAAGGCAGAGTTATAAAGGGAGAGAGACAGAAACAGAAAGAGAAATCTTCCATCCGCTGGTTCACTCCCCAATGGCCACAATGGCTGGAATTGGGCCAATCCAAAGCCAGGAGTCAGGAGTCAGAAGCCAGGAGCCAGGAGTTTCTTCTGGGTCTCCCATGTGGATGCAGGGGCCCAAGCAATTGGGCCATCTTCTACTGCTTTCCCAGACCATAGCAGAGAGCTGGATCAGAAGTGCAGCAGCTGGGATGCCGGCACTACAGACAGTGTCTTAACCCATTATGCTACAACGCTGGCTTCCCAAACACAGCTTTTGATAAACAGTCAGCTTTTAATAAAAGTGACACCCTCCATTCTAAACAGTAGGTAATTTCCATTTCTATTTCTGCATTAACCTAAGAATCACTTAAAGTTAAAAAAAAAATTCTAAGATACATGTGTCATTATTTGAATTGTTTGTCTCTTCAAATGTCTTATGTAATCACTTGGTGAACTTATTGTTTGAACTTATTGTTCAAATCAGCACCAGCTAAAATATCCTTTATAAAATAGTGTAATACATGGATTATGTTTATCCAAGATCCATGTAAAAATGAAAAGTACTATTCAACAGGTTAATCAAATTTCCTGTCCTCTGAATTACCTTTTTTCTACTTAATCTGTTCATATCTGAAAGGGGCTCTTATGGGTTGTACAAATCTCACCTTTAGGCACTACCATTTTTTCTTTAGGAGCTTAAAAGTTTATAAAGCTGATAAGCTTATGAGTGATGGCTTAAGGCTGGTATGCTAATAGACTGTTAATTTAATGGATAAGTGTTCATTTATTAATTTTTTGCTTTACATTTCATTTTGTCTAATATCAGTTGGCCACCTATGTGTGCGTGAGTTTTTTTTTTTTTTTTTAAAGCCCTCCACTTTTGCATGAGAATTTGAAGTTCAGTTAACTCCTGGGTGCTAGAACTGTGCTGTATGACACAGTAGCCGCTAGACACACACTGCTATTTAAATTTAACAGGTTAAACAGATAAAATTAGGGACTTGTCCTTCCAGCCCAGATATGGTAACAGGAACAAGAGTTACCTTCAGTCTAGAATAACAACAACGACCGCAAGACCACCAGACCAAACACACGAAACGATGGTTTGTAAGGCACTGCAAGTCAGCCAGTGAGGAATGGTGATCTCTTTGCAGAGTTTCTAGGTTACAGGATAGGGAAGGGGTTAATCTAAACCAAGCCTGGGTGAGCAACACCAAGGTGACGTCAGTGCCCAGAAGAGAATGACAAAGAGGAGACAGCTGCACAGAAAGATAACACTGAAGATCTGCAGAGGCCTCCCCCTTACGCACACGCTTGGTGGAAAGCTCCCAGGCCTGGAGGGAGACTGGCTGGGAGACACGTGGGGCCAGCAGAGGGCCTCTCCCCACCAGCCAGGCTGGAGATCTCCAATGTCAGGGAGTACTCGAACGTGGAAAAAGGCCAAGCTGATGTATCAAGTCCAAGTAACTGCCCATGGGGGAAGGGTTCAGGGGTATTTAATCAGAGTACAAAAGTGCACAGTACCCAACAAGGCAAAATTCACAATGTCTGGCACCCAATAAAAAATAACTAGACACCCAAAGAAGCAAGAAAACAAAACCCATAGAGAGATGATAAATCATCCCAAAGAAATAAAAGCTCTATGCCCACAACAAGATTTGCACAAAAATGTTCTCAGCAGCTTTATTTATAATACCCCCCAAGCTGGAACTGACCCAAACCTCCATCAACTACTGAATGGACAGAGACTGTTACACACAATGAAAACTAGTCAGCAAAAAAAAGCAATGATACATGCTAGAATGTGCATACGGATCTCAACCTATGCTGAGTCAATTAAGCTTGCGCAAAAAGAGGACAAACTATGTGATCTACTTGCTTCATATAAAATTCTTGGGCAGGCAAACTATTGTGACTGAGCCCTGCTGTGGTTCTCTGCAGGTGGGGATCTGCAAAGGGCGGGAAGGAAGCATTGCAAAGGGTTTGAGGAAATGGTGAGGTGATGGGTGTGTTCACTATCTTGATTATGGATATGGCTACACAGTTATGGAGTATAGATGCATCAAAACCCAAGAATTTGGGGCCTTTACGTTTGTACAGTTTATTTCATATTCATTGTACCTCAATAAAGCCAACTAAAAAAATCTAGTTCCTCAATCAAACTGCCCACATTTGAAGTGTTGAAAGCCCACATGTGGCTAGTGGCTACTACACTGGATGGATGGCCCAGATACTACTGTTTGCAGGGGCTTGCATACTAAATGTCCTGCAAAGTTTTGTGGATTAAAGTCCCGCTTCCCCAGGATGGAACTACTAGGAGGTAGTAGAATCTTTAAGAGGTGGGGCCTGGTGGGGGCCTCAGGTCATTATGGTGTGCCTTGGAAGGTCACTGTGTTAAGACAGTTGTTACCAGAGCCTGAGTTTGGGCCCAATCTCCCCTCTTCACTTCATCAGTAGCTTGTCTCAGGTATTTCATTATAGTGGCAGAAAGCTGGGTGGTATAACATCCTTTCCAAAAGTTATTTTGGATACTAACTGTAGACGAAACTTAACTTATTTTCCTTTTCTCTGAAAGGCAACAAGACAGAGAGGGAGAGAGGGAGAGACAGATCTTCTATCACTTCCCAAATCCAGAAGCCCAGTACTCCATCTGGGTCTCCCATGTGGGTGGCAGGGATCCAAGCACTTGAGCTATTATCTGCTGGATTAGAAGCAAAGGCAGGGCTGGATTCCTGGCACTCCAATATGGGATGCAGGTGCCCCAATCAGCAACCTAAGTTGCTGTACCAACACCCACCCCTGTTCCAGAAAACTGAATTTAGGGGTCGGCGCTATGGCAGAGTGGGTTAAAGTCCCAGCCTGCAGTGCTGGCATCCTGTATGGGCACTGGTTCGAGTCTCAGCCGCTCTACTTCTGATCTAGCTCCCTGCTAATACGCCAGGGAAAGCATTGGAAGATGGCCCAACTCCTTGGCCCCTGCACCCACATGGGAGACCCAGAAGAAGCTCCTGGCTCCTGGCTTTGGATCAGCTCAGCTCTGGCCGTTGTGGCCATTTGGGGAGTGAACCAGCAGATGGAGGGCCTCTCTCTCTCATCTCGACCTCTCTCTCTCTCTAACATTGTCTCTCAAATAAGTAAAATAAAAATCCTTAAAAAAAATTCTTTAAAAAAAAAGATAAAAGAAAATTGAATTTAGGCTCAGTTAATTTTCCCTAGAAGTGGAACTGCTGGGTCACACATCTGAAGTTAATACACATTCCAAAGTGTTCCACAGTAAGCCAACTTACGCTTAACACGTTAGCACACACTAGTCCACGCTTCTCACACTTCACACACAAAAATGCTACTTTCATTTAATTCGTCCTTATTTGATTACCAGCAAACATGGTTTTTTCCATGCTTGTCTGTTGTGGCCTGAGTGCTTACATTTGGTTTGGAGAGTTATCAGCACAACTTGAACACAGATGCCAGAAAACAACAGCTTTAATGTATTACCCTTTCTCAATGGAATTCAAACACTCCAACTTTTCAAAAATAAATACATCTTAAAAAAATAAACAACATTAAAACAATTCTTTTACCTCATCCAAACAGTTGACACGAACATTCTTGCTGGATAATAGTGTCCCAGCTTCTTGAACAGTACCTTTGGAAAAAAAAAAAAAGATGAAGAGCTTATTTAATGACAGAATAGCAAAAAACAAAACAAAACAAAACAAAACAAAACAAAACAAAACCCGACGACAGGGAAATTAACTTTACAAAGTCATCTATAAAACCAGTCAGGTTAAGTTGCTGAGCAAAGCACTTGGGCAGCAGCCACCAGACCTGCTGGGTAAGATCCTCATACCCCACACCGGGGTGTCTGGGTTCAATTCCTGACCATGGCTCCTGATTCTAGCTTCCTGTTACTGCAGATCCTGGGAGGTAACCGATAGTGATTCCACAAGCTGGGTCCCTGTGGAGTTTCTGGGCTCCTGGCTTTGGCCTGGTCCCACCCTGGCTATTGTGGGCATCTGGAGAGTGAACGAGGAGGTGTCTCTCTGCCTCTGGAACAAATGGTAATAGACCATCCAGTCACTTCCTATTTATTTCAGGAAGTAATTGTCCAGAGGTGTAATTTACAGGACCTTGTTACTACTATGCTTTCACTGAGCTTCAAGTACATTAAACTGGCAACACTTTCTGTTTGGCAGGAATACAGCAGCCACAAGGCATAAAACTTCACACTGCAACAAATCTATGACAGGGCCTCTCACCCAAAGCACCCTGGAAAGCTTCGAGGCCAGTCAGAGTAATACTGGGGATGCAAAACCCAAGTCAGTGATTATATAATTCATCTTCACGAGGTCCTGTAAGCCGACAGAGGGTTTACAACAGATCTCTCGGCTGGCAATGTGTAGGTGACAAGCATCTTTTAGGACTGGTGCTGCGTGGCCAGTGTTCAGACCGCCACACGGCAGGTGAGGCAGTGTGGACAAGAGCTGTAATTGGGCACACGCTGGTCAGGTTTCTCTGGCCTTCTGTAAAAGCATGAAGACAACGGCACACAGTTGGAGGACAGAATGGTGCTATTATCATCATCAACCCAGCCAGCCACACGTCCTGCCAAAAATGTCTCCTCTGACTGCAAAGAGAACAATGAGAGTGAGTGTTCTTAGGGAGAAAGGATGCTTTGGCCGCTTCCTTAAAAGAACATTAAAAAAAAAAAAAAAAAGCATCTCCCCCCCCCGCCCACACACACACACACCGCTCCGGGTTTAAATTTAGAATCACAGTGCAAGGATGTACTCAATTCTGCTGCACATGGCACGCTTCTCTGTCCCTGACCTGCTTCCTGGGTGCCCCTCACCCAGAGAGGACAAGCAGGGAAATGTGTCCTGGACGGACCGAGACAGAGCTCTGTTGGGAAAACCTCTCAGCCGCGAGCTCCCTGTCCCGGGGTGGGGGGTGGGGGGCGACAGCAGCTATTTTTGTGCTGGGTGGTGCAGGGTTCTAACCCTGCACTTCCCCTGCACCTGTGTGCGGTGCGGCTGGGAACGGAGAGGGAGAACCTCACGGATGTGGAACCTTACAGTTCCTCGTGATAAGGTCCCTCACACAGCTGTAGGGAGAACAGAAACTAGAAAATGCCTGTGGCCCAAATTCCCTCGGCAGAAGCAGCATTAGCTGCGTGATACCCCCCTCTACAACGACCAGAGGGTCTTTTCTCTCTGGCCAGGAGATGTTCACGCAGTGAGACACTCCTGTAGGGGTGAGGATGGCTCCCGCCAGGGGAGTTACCCATAAGCAGGTGCCTCTCATTAGAGGGCGGCCTGATAATTCTGTATCAGTTAATCTGTCAGGGAGCAATTTAAAAAAGATAAAGCAGGTTGCGGTGCAGGGTGAATCCCAGACTGACAGCTTTCTCCTCCTACACGCTCACTTGATGGACTCCATGCTTCAGTTCCAGCACCAAGTGTACAGGGCTTCCCCCCAGCATCCTGGGCAGCTCCCCAGAGGACACCAACCGGTACTATGTAACTATGTACTATGTAACTCAGTCCTGGCACCTGCTGGCTGGGGTTAGAGCCGGACCCCCCAGGGGAGGTGCTGGGTGCCCAACTCACAGGCTTAACAAGGCTGCCCCTGCTCCAGCCGCCAGCCAGGTTTCAGTCTGTGGCCTGTATATCTGAATGCATGAGGTTTCCATGAGCCCCTCCTCAGGTCTGATCGTTTGCAAGGAAGGCTCAGGAAGGATGCAGACAAACAGGCAGCTGTTAGAGCTGCCTGGGGCAAGGCCTATGGGAAGGGCCACAGAGCTTCCGGGCAGCTCCATGTGCGTCACAGCCGGGAAGCACCTCAGAACCTGGCGGCTCACGGCTATGGGGGAGGCTGCATCACACAGGCACGGCCGGCTACTACCTCAGTCTCCAGCACTTCTCCCCTTTCTGGAGCTGAAAGTTCCTGGCTTCTAACCTGGCCTTGCACTTTGTGGTGACCAGGACACTCCTAAATCAGGGATTAGCAGCTCTGTGTCAGCAACCAGGGTCAAAGACCGAACTTCAGAACAATGCACTGCACCCAGCAGCCCTCTTGCTCAGGAGATAAGGGTTCCAGGAGCTCTGTGCCACACACAGCACTCAACAGGGGAAGGTCAGCCTTTAGAAACGAGGGGGCCAAGATCACAAACACGACCGGCAACAGTTTGGGCTTCTAGGGAACAGGTACGGATTTCTGGGAAACGGATGAGCAAGATACCCTGAGAGGAAAAACTTTAGGAATATAATGATTCTTCCCATCGTACCTGCCCTCCCACCCATACTCCCACCCCTCTTCCGCCTCCCTCTCCCCATCCCATTCCCATTCTCCATTTAGATTCATTTTCAGTTAATTTTGTACACAGAAGACCAACTCTGTACTAAGTAAAGATTTCAACAGTTTGCACACACACAAAAACTGAGAACTAGTTTCACAGTTAACTCTCATAATACAACTCATTGAGGACAGAGGTCCAGCATGGGAAGTGCACAGTGACTCCTGCTGTTAATTTAACAATTAATGCTCTTATGTATGACATCAGTGATCACCCGAGGCTCTTGACATGAGCTGCCTAGGCTACGGAAGCTTTTTGAATCCACCAACTCCATCAGTATTTAGACAAGACCATAAGCAAAGTGGAAGTTCGCTCCTCCCTTCAGAGAAAAGTACATCCTTCTTTGATGGCCAATTCTTTCCACTGGGGTCTCACCCAAAGAGATTCCTCATGTAGGAAATTTTTTTGCCACAGTGTCTTGGCTTTCCATGCCTGAAATGCTCTCATGGGCTTTTCAGCCAGACCAGGAAGTCTTAAGGGGTGATTCTGAGGTCAGAGTGTTACTTAAAGTGATTGTCATTCTATGAGTCAGCTGTGTGGACTGTAAAGCTGTCTTTTAAAAACACACTTTTCTTCATGGTGAAATCATGGTAATTTGACATAGTGTACTAGTCTGTATGAGGATCTTAAAGTTTTCTCACTTGCTTGTATCTGTTTTTAGACTTTGTTAAAAAACTGGACTTAAGCAAGGCATAAAATGGACAGAAATTTAAAAGAGTTGCCAGAGGCGGGGCTTAGGCCTAGTGGCTGAGATGTTACAGCAGGTCTGTGGGATCTTTGGGAGTGAAAGAGCTACTTGTGGTTTTAATTGTAGTGATGGACACTTGGGTCAACACTGATACAAAACTGTGCATTTTAAATAGATGCTATTGATGGTAATTATGCCTCCCTGACATTGATATAAAATTCCCTATTGTCCAAACCTGTTCCACAGCTCCTTTTACACAAACATGAAAAAATGAAACAAGACAACCCTAGCAAGTGTTTTACTTTCTTGTTTAAGACAGCAAGAGATTCCAACTGAGGTAAGTAAGAAAAAAATCTTTGGGTTTATACTCTCACACTAGGAGTGATTTATTTTGAAATTTGTCTTCCTATGCTGAATGAAAAAGCTACCGGAATTTAGAGGAATGATCACTCAACAAGGAAGGCTAAGGCATTCAAACATGGTTTTCATGCTGTCAATCTTCTCTCCTTCAACGTTGTGCAATGGACATGGTTATTTATTCTGTTTTACACGGGCACGTTGGAAGCAGCTTCTCATTTTCATCTGAGACTTCCTGGAATTCCGACAAACATACGATCTGGAGACAGCTTAGCATGCAGACTTACAGAACGAGACAGGTCTGAAAGTATGCAAAAACCATGTGTGGGGTTATTACACATCCCTGGATGTCCCCTTCACAGCCTGCTGACTTCTAGGGGGCAAGTGACCAGCAGGGAGGAGGAATGGAGGCACTGGTCAAGTTTATTTCAGACTGGCCAGATGTGGCTGAAGATTCATTCACTGTTCATTCAAAGTACTAGAACTGACTGTCTTATCTATTGTTTCTCAAGATGGGAAATCAACCAAAGGAGAAACAAAAAATAAGAACATCACCCACCCGCTAAAAAAATAATAATAACGTTTCTTAAGGGCACAGACATAATACTTCGCACATGACCTTCATTCAACCATAAACAAAAATTCACTCTGTAAGTTAAAAGCTCTTAAAACTACAAGATCAACAACATTTAAAACTCAGCTAACTCTGGGGCTGCCATGGTGTAGCAGTTAAGACACCAATTGGGATGCTTGCGTCCTAATGTGCACCCTGCAAAGCAGCTGGCAATGGCTCAAGTACTTGGGTCCCTGCCACCCACAAGGGAGACCCAGATTCAGTTCTAGGCTCCTGGCCTCAGGCAGACCCAATCCGGGCTGTTCTGGGAATGAACCAGTGCATGAAAGAGCTTCGTCTTTCCAATAAAATGAAAAAAAGAAAATTATTTAAAGAGAACTATACTTAAAGTAAAAATTAACTGGACAGATGATATTTTGCTGAAATGAGACTACTTCTCAAAGGCACAGGTCTCATTTTGGCTGTGGCTTTGGCTTTGAAGTCCAGCCTATTATTTCTTGGACCTGTGGGCCACAGGACACCTCAGCCCTGCAGCCCTGCAGCTTACCCGTCGTGCACTCTCAGCACATGGCCCGACTCTCCGGTTCCTGGGACTGCTTATCTGTCAAGCAGGGATTACCATACGGATGGCAACAGCAGCTGCCACGCTGATTTGAATGCTCTGCCTATAAGGACTTCATCCTCACACCCTAAGGAGACCTCAGCAGTACTGAGGTGCCCACGGCCACAGCACCACACAGGGGATTCAGGCAGGATCCCCAAAAAGGACCCGAACAGCTAGCCCCTCTCAGAACATGACAGCTTAAAAATCATGGTTAGCTGCTCAAAACTAGATGCATGTAGAGTATGCAGAATCCCACCTGGCTCATGAGGTTCAGCAGGTGCATCTTGTGGTTGCTACTCTGCTCCCATCTCACACTGCTCTGAGAGTTCAGTGGTGTCCCAGACTTTCCCTGACACCACCTGCACCTCACTTCTTTTCTCATTAGCCTGTGCCAAGCAAAGGGACCACAGACACACACACGCGCACACACACACACTACGGATGCCCCATGTGACTCCCAGGCCGCCCCACTTCCTGGCACATCCAGCCCTAACTGGAGCAGAGACACCCTCACCTGGCTTCCCAGCAACTCCAAAACCCACCTGCCACACCTGAGACCTCATCTCTAAGACGGCTTGGCGCCTGTCACTGTTAATAAGCGAACACGTGACCCACAGCTCTCGCCTGCTCTGGTCCCTGATGGACTGGGGCGGGGCAAGGCACAGTCCTAGGCCGGCACTCACGCGTGCTGGACCGAGCCCTGCAGCCCCCAGGGACAGGAGACAGCCCACCAGGTCGGGGAGGACCCAAAGCTGTAGCTCGGCAGGCTAATAAGGCTGGAGATTCCCCACACCGGGGCTACCCCAGACCGGGAGGACTCAGCTCGTTGGCCCCGGTGGAGTTCAAATCCGGCCTCCATCGTCGCGGTGGAGCCTCCATCTGCGGGACCCCCTGGCGCAGCAGCCACGCCCCCCGACACCTGCCAGGTGCGGGCTCCTCGGGCCCGGGGCGCAGCGGAAGCGAGGCCTGGGGCGCGCACGCAGCGAGGCCTGGGACGTGGGAGCCCCGAGTTACGGCTCTCTCAGCCCCCAAAGCAAAGTGGAGGAGAGGAGGTGGCCCCAGACTGCCCCCGGAAGCAGCCCGAGAACCCAGCAGGCTGCGGAGGCCGTGTGTGCGGCTCACCCCGCGGCCCGGGGGGCAGCGCAGACCCAGGCCGCGAAACCCCGCCTTCACCCGGCCAGAGCCTTGCCCACGTCGCGGGGTACCCCGGCCGGGGCGCCCCCCACCCCGGGGCTCCGCCACGCCCCCTGCTAAGGCCGCGGCGCCCCGCTTCCCAGCCCCGCACCCATACCTTTCCCGATGGCCTCCAGCAGCTCCTTTTCCTCCGGAGTCAGCTCGCCTTTCTGTATGTGAACCATGGCTGCCGCCAGCTTGAAGGCGATCTTGCTCCTGGGCAAGCTTCAAAAAAAAAAAAAAAAAAAAAAAAAAAAAGCGAGGCTCCGTCCGGGCGAGCAGCAGCGGCGGACAGCGGAAGCGCCCCACTCCCTTCTCCCTGCGGGGCGCGAGCTCCCGCGAGCCCCGCCGCCGGCACCGCCCCCCGCGTGTCATTGGCCCGGACTGGGGGAGGAGCCGCAGGAGGCTGCTTCCAGGGACTCCGATTGGAGCAGCCCGAGCGGGCAAAACCAAACGGAGAAAACAGGAGGGGGGACAGGAAATTCTTCTTGCACGTTTCCGCCCCCTCTCTATTAGGTTCAGATACCTGGGGACGCAGCGCGATGACCATTCTCTACCTAGCAGTGCTGTTTCCCGCTGTGGCTTTCCAATGCGTGAAGACGCCTCCTGCTTCGGCTCTGCAGCGCACGGCATCCCCCGGGAGAGGCGCAGTCCGGCAGAGGGGCGGGCCGAGGGGCGGGGCCTGGCGGGAGGCGGTGCTGCGCTGGGTTCCGTGTGTCTATGTCAATGTGTCTGTCCTTCATTCCTCCATTGTCTGCCGCCGCTGCCAGAAGCCGCCGCAGCCCCCGGCCTCGCGCGTCGTCGCTACCTCCTCGGACAGGTGAGAAGCCAGCCCCGCGTGGGGACCCAGGCGCCCGGGGCCGGAGCCGGCGTGCGGACGGGCGCGTGTGCCTGTGCCGCCGGAGCCGGAGCCGAAGCCCCGCGGGCGGGGACCGCGGCTCGCCCGGCTGCGGCCGGCCACGGGGCGGGCGCACGTGGTCCCGCGCGGGAAGCGGCGGGCCGCGGAGGGCGCGGGGGGCAGGGGCCGGCGTGCTGGGGAGGCGGCTGCCTTCGGCCGTCGCCCGCCCGGGCCTGTGCGCCCGCTGCCCGGCTTTGGAACTAGCCCCGGGGCCCTGCGCGCCGCGGAGGTGCCCGGGTCCCGCGCGCTCCACGGACCCGGGGCAGGAGGGCCAGGGACGGGGTCGGCGGCGCGGCTTCCCCTCTGGCCGCTGCCTGGGTGTCGTGTGCGGGGGGCGGCCTGCTAAGGGCTGGGGGCCGGAGTCCAGAGCCCCCCACCCCACCTCACGGGGTGCGTGTCCGCCGTGCCCGCGGCCTCCCTTGCAGGCCGCCTGGAGAATAAGCGTCCGCGCTGCCTTGCAGCCTTTGCTCCAGCCCTGACCGGCCGAGTCCGGACAGACACGCGTCAATCACGACGCAGACGAGCGAGAGACAGACGTCAATCACGACGTCGGCGGCTTCGCTCTGGCTGGCCCGCTGTGCCGCGTGCGAAGTGCAGTAGAGCTCTTTGCAGCTTCGCTGGTTTCTGATTTCCTGCCTCCCCCACCCCCCCAAATCTCCCGCACACCAGCCCTGCTCCCCTCCCCCACCGAGGCTTTGCTGCTGCCCAGGCTGGGGGTGCGAAGCCAGGACCAGACGGCCTGAGATCATTCATCTCTGCGCGTAACAAAGAAAGTTTTTGTCCGATGGTGCTAAGATAATCAGGCGCCTGTTCTGCCCGGGGGAAGGGAGGGACCGGGGCTGGGTGACACTCTGAGCGTCCTGGGAGGAACCCCGACCGAGCCCGCAGGTGCTTCCCGCCTGGATTCCAGCCCTGGTGTCTTCAAGGTCGCACCTGTTTGCCTCCCTGGGGCCGTCGGCTCCCCGGGGATAGGAGCTGAGTTACCTCTTCCTGCCTTGTGACACCTGACTGGTTCTGAGCCTCTCTTGTGGCTTAGGTAAATGTGGACTCAGACATGTGGACAGGTCAGCTGCTCCATTTAAATTTCTGCCATCATGGAGAATGGTTCCTTAGATGGGTGACGTGAATAGCTTTGTGCAGTCTAAATATTTAGTGTAGGGGTGAGAGTCACTAATGAGCATATTAAACCGTGCTCAGATCTAAGGAGTTTCATTGATAATAAAATAGCAGTGCTCAGCCCGCGCCAAATAACTCTACCAGATGCTTTGCACAGGATTATTTTAATCATCGTTATAACAACCCAGGAATTAGCCAAGATGATTTTCATTTCTGCAACGAGGAGGGCAGAAAATAGGGAAGTTAATTCGTTAGTCCACAGTGCCACAGCTGACAAGTGTCAGAAGCAGGATGGGAGCCTGGCATGGCACCTGGGTGCCAGGCAGTGCGGGGAGGGGGGAACTCTATTATTTTGAGGAGCTGGTGGATAATGCCTCCTTGTGGTTTCGCCAGGGGAGCTACAGGCCCCTCCTGCCTCCTTGCTGCCCCACAGCCAATGAGATTTATTTTTTTCATATTTTGCAGAGCTAGTTTATGTAAATATATATATATACCCACCATTTTATTTATTTTTACAGAAATTGGAGCCTACTGCCACACTTGTGTAGCAGAATTTGTATGATGATGCTCTTGTTTCTTCACCTTGTAAAGAATACTGATTTCTTATCAGTATGTCTTATCACAAATTTCATATCAATTTCAGAATCAGTGTGTCTGTGTCCCCTCCTCTGCTCCTAAAGACTGCCTTAGACCCCTGGCATTCCAGTCCATTATTTTTTGTAAATATTTATTTGAAAGGCAGAGTTACAGAGAGGGAGCGAGCTTCCATCCACTGGTTCACTCTCCAGGTGGCCACAGTGGCTGAGACTGGGCCAGGCCAAAGTCTGGAGCCAGGAGCTTCCAGGTCTCTCTCACAGGTGCAGGGGTTAGGTGCTTGGGCCATCTTACTATGCTTTCCCATGTGTGTTAGCAGGAAGGTGGATCTTAAGTGGAGCCGCCGGGACTTGAACCAGCATTATCACAGGTGGCAGCTCAGCCCACTGGGCCGCAACGCTGGCCCATCAGTGGATTCTTACACCCCCTGTTCCTCTGCCACCTCTCCCCATGCAGCTAACCCAAGGAACTCCCAGATCAATAACCATGGAACACCCTCTGGCCCCAGAGTGGAGGTTCAGGTCCGGCCAGCCTTGCTGTGGCCTCTCCCCTGCTGTGCTCTGAGGTCACAGCCCTGCTGGATCCCTACCCTGCTGGTCATTCTCACCCCCCTTTGTTCCTGCTGTGCTCTTCCTGGAAGGACCTCCCAACCCTCCTCAGGAAGTCACTGCTTCCCAGAACTGATGGCTGCTCCTTGCTTCCTGCTCACCTCTTCTCCCAGACTGTGAGAGCCACGCACAGGGATGACAACTGGTCCCATTGTGGACAGCATCTTCTAACTCAGCCTCCCGCCTTGGTCCCCCGAGTTCACACTGCTTCTCTGGGTTGCCAAGGAAGTGGCTCGTGCAGGCTCTTCTCACCCATGTATCAGCCAGGTCGGGGTGGCCTCTGATTCTCAAGGTGTAGTGTCTTGTCCCTGTGCTGTGCCCAGTACATGCTGAGTTGAGTCCATTTGATCCCTAAGTTATTTTAGGTGGATTTATTTCCCAACTCAGCTAATCCTTCCTGGCAGTGAGCAGTGCACCGTGGCACTAAACACACATACACATGCCCATAACCAGGGGCAAACGGGCTGTAAATGCTTTGGGTTTCAAGGTTCTGACATTCTGTTGACCATGAAATTTCACCTGTGCATATTCCACATCCCACACACTGTTCCTGGGTCTCCGGCTGTCGCCCAGGGAACGCTGGTTCCTGTCGTGACAGGGGAGCAGTGCATGTTTGAGTATCAGATCTTTCCCTGGCGTTTGATTTATTTTCTTAGTCTTTGGTACATTTCCTGCCTGTCGCAATATTTCAGGATATCAGGACATTTTCATATTGGAAAACATCATGGCTTCTGTTTTCAAAGATCCCTTACTGTTTAGAGGTCTGTACTGAAAGGAATGATGTGACAGGTGAGACCAGCTGTCAGTATGATCCTGTGACCTGGGGGGGCAGGGGTTGAGTGAGAACAAACAGGAGAGAAACTCACCATGTTAATGAAGGTGGGATTTGGTTCATCGTTGGCCACCTTCCTCCTCCCATGGTCCTCTGGGCTTGTGGGTATGCTTGAAATTTACCATAGAAAAGTTCTGAGGAGGGAAACTTGAAAATATTACAGCCTCCAAGAAATTACTGTTTGTTAGCACAGCATAAAGCGAGCCACGTGCAGAGAAATGTTCGTACTCTGTACTTGGAGCGTAGCTTATGCAAGTCTTCATTTAAATGCTGCTAGTAGAGCTACACGTAAATCTGCAAGGGGCTGTGAACAAAGCCTTCTCATGAGCCCCCCAGGTCACAATTCTGCTTCCCCACCAATCCAAAAGGAGGCAGGTGGCTTTGCCTAGCGCCTGTTTCACAGGCTGGTGAGCACCTTCCTAGCAGTTCCTCCTCTTTCTTGGAAATTGACACAGAGGTGCAAAGACACCGGAGTCACCTAAGGAAATCAGGATGTGAACCGAGTGGAAATACTGGTTTTCTTTGCTTTGTAACCCAACCCAGAAGGCATTCCCGACAGAAGGTGTGCCAAAACTCTCTGAGTCAGAGTCGGAGTCTGCACAGTGAGACGGACGAGTCAGGACCACACTCAGGACAGTGCGTGCCTGCTGCGGCGTTCTCTGCCTTTGGGTTTGTTAACCAGAGCTGCTTTGGAGACCTTTCTGCCTCTTGCGACTTCGTAACTTAGCGTGTCTTGGTGTAATCCTCCCCGGCCTAGTTTGAAGGGTTTTTAAAGAATATTTGATGACTAAAATCCACCAATGTTCATAGTCCCTGGACAAGAATACTCTCGCGCTCCCTCTGCTGTCAGTGGAGTGTCATCTTTTGGGGCAGTCGGGTACCAGGTGGAACGATTTGGTCTGTTCGAAAGTCGGCCTGTGTTGAGTAAAGACTGCCCAAAACCCCTCAGATAGTCATGTTTGAATACTCTCTATTTTGAAAGTAACATCAGGGCCAGTGCTGTGGCATGATGGGTAAAGTTGAAGCCTATGGCACCAGCATCTCATATGGGTGCCAGTGCCAGTTTGAGTCCTGGCTGCTCAACTTCCAATCCAGCTCCCTGCTAATGTGCCCGGGGAAAGCAGCAGAAGGTAGCCCAAGTGCTTGGGCCCCTGCACCCATGTGGGAGACCTGGTTGGAGCTCCTGGCTTCAGATCAACCCAGCTCCAGCCGTTATAGCCATTTGGGGAATGAACCAGTGGATGGAGGATCTCTCTCTCTCTCTCTCTCTCTGTTTCCCCCTCTGTAACTCTGCCTTTCAAATGGATAAATCTTAAAAAAAAAAAAAAAAAAAATCAGAAAATAAATTGGAAAAAAAAGGCCTTAATTGGCTCACTGAATGAACATGCTTTTAATTGTGTTTTCTTTTTTCTTGATTGTTAGCATTAGATGTTTCCTTTTTTTAAGTTTGTCAAAAAACAGATACAATAATCTGTACATAAGAAAGTGTAATGTCCCTCATTAATATTAAAGATAGTATAATTCTTTGGCTATCCCTAGTTCAGTACTGGTAGAAGATAAACAATTAATTTGAGTCAGATATAAAAATTATTTTCTTTTCACAGTTCATCTGGTTTTTAGTCAAAATTAGGATTTTTAAAACTAAGTATTAGATATAATGTTATTTTGGGGGCAGTTTTAGATAAATATGAAGAAAAGCCTTAGGACAGAGATGTCTGCAAATAAGAGGAAACAGCTAGGGCCAGTGCTGTGGCATAGCAGGTAAAGCCGCC